CACTGTTAACTGTTTCTTCTGTCTTATTTACCTAAAAAGGATTTATCCATCACACTGTTTTTTTCCTTGACTGTTTTCACTTGATACATCTTAGAGATTTTTTGTATTACTGCATATAATCTATCTAATTCTTTTTAAGAGTTGCATAATATTCCATTGTGTGGATGGGTGCAAATCATTTTTAGAAAATGAAGCATATTAAATTCTTAATATGTTAAACCTGGATTTTATTATCTTGTCGTAGTTAAATTACTGCCTAGCGGAAAATGAATAAAAGAAAGAATGACAAAACACATGCTTTGAGACCAGTGATTTGAAAGAACCTGGCAGAATCATCTGGGATTCTTTTAAAATACAAACTCCCATACCTGTTCTAAATCCACTGAATTAGAATCTTTGGGGATAGGATTTAGGGAATCCCAGAGGTATCTATGGAATTTTGATGTGCATTCAGGTTTGAGAGCCTATTCCCAGAGGTATCTATGGAATTTTGATGTGCATTCAGGTTTGAGAGCCTCTAGAAACAGTTCCTCTGCTTTCGAACAAAATAAATACCTAAAAATATACTCGCTAAAATGAAGTATACGTAGAATTGGGATTGGGATTTCTATTTTCATTTATGAGAGGCCTTTCATAATAATATACCATCCATCATACTATACCCAAGTTTTAGATTGTATGCCATTTTTTATGTATTTTTTAATTTAAATAGCTTTATAAAGATATACAATAGGAAATTAAATAAGACATTGACCAATAGAATAATAAATGAGATAAGAAAGAAAATATGTCAAAGAGGAAACTCTTCACTTGTCTTTCAAGAGTCTATTCTAAGCCTTCTTGTTTCACATGGGATTATAACAGTAGATCTATCGATATTTTAGAATGATTTTCAGTTTACTTGTGAAAGATTGGTAGTCGAAGACCAAATGCCTACCACTACCATTTATATTCATTCTTCCAATAGTATCATAGGAAACTTATGAGACTATACAGCAAGTAAATATTCAAAAATTAAATTATTTTTACATAAAACTAACTTATTACAGGTGTCTTTACAGCTCTTTGAATTTTCCCCTATAGATTAAGGTAGTTAATATGAAATTATTCATTAGAAAAATTAACAGATTATCAGATAAGATTAGTATCATCGTGCCTTTTGTGCCCCATAATATAAAGTAAAAATGCAGTTAAATTTAGACCAATTTGGATGGATGTAATCTTCTATAATAATTGTATACTAATTAGTTTATACTAATTTTTTGCACAGTCAATATTATTCAAAGAATGTATAGAATTTAAATATGAGCATAATTCCTGAGAAATTTTGTTGTGGATTCTGAATTAGTCAAATTAATAGCTTAATTTGTAAAATTCTTTTTAATAATGTCTGTAATGCTTTTTCTGTTGTTAAAGAATAATTTCTGTGAGGGAAGTGTCTTGGCTTCTCCTGTGAATTCCAGAAAATCTAATCCAGTCACTACCAAGTTGCAAAAGAAAAGTAAGAGCAAACAAATAAATACTGGAGATATTCAAAAGTAAGTGAACATGGCTATTTATTAATTATTTATTGACCACCTACTGTATGCCAGTGTTTTTTGTTCATATAGTCCACTGACTTTCAAACTTAGTTCATAAAGTCTGCATGAAAGAGTCTGAGATAGTCTAAGATGGATGTTAAGCGTAAATAAGAAAGCTACTCACATAGCTTAGATTCCTGGCTAGCACAAAGAGAAATGTAAAGTCTTTTTTTATTCTCCTTGCTCAGGATTTCCATGTACCCATTTTCTCAAAATTAACCAGTTGGATTTCTTTTTCTCTTGATTTAGCTTCAGGTGAGAAAAGCTAGTCCCACATAAGGTCATTCTCATTAAAGGAATTTACAATTTTGCATCTAGATCATTCATCTATCCTCTTTTACCCAGTTTATGCATTACATTTTTTCTCTACTGTACAAAAGCATGAGCCAGGTAGTGAACAGTGAAGTGATGGTTTAGCTTCCCCACAATACCCATCCAGCACCAGGTAGAGTTGATACCTTTATGAGGATATAAGTGTTCCTATTGTAATTCATCGTTGGAAAAGTTTATAAACCACAATCTAGACTTTAAAAATATGCAAGGGCTTTTGGCTGCAACTGGATAAATATGTGCAGGTAATTTGCTTCCTTCCAGAACGTATAGAAATTTTGGATTTGGATGGTGGAAATTTGGGACGGGGAGACTTTAATTTGAAGTGTGGGCAGTTAAATGAAGTGGTTACTATTAAAAGAAAAATAGATGTGGCAATATCAATATTGTTAAGGCTGATATTACACAAAGTAGAATCGAGAAAAACCAATAAAAGGAGAAAAGCAGAGATATTGGATAATGATACATTCTGCTTAAAGGATATAACTGTCATAACTTTTCATGTATCTAAATATATTTTTAAATACTAAAGAATTACTAGAAATACAACAGATCTGATAAACTAATTTTAATAACTGATGAATTCAAAAGCAGAAATTGAAGGAATTGAGAAATTAGTGGTTTAAAATTAAAATGAAGTTAAAAACAGATAAGGTCTAGTCTCTAGAATATATAAAGAATTCTTATATAACTCGACAACAAAAGACAACTCAATTTAAAAATAGACAAAGGACTTGAATAGAATTTCTCCAAAGATGTACAAATGGCCAGTAAGCACATAAAAAGATGCTCAATATCATTAGTCATTATGGAAATGTAAAAACTACAATTAGATACCACTTCACACCTACTAGGATGTCTATAATCCAAAAAAGTTTTTAAAAGAGAAAATAAGTGTTGGCAAGGATGTAGAAAATATGGAATCTTGTACATTGCTGGTAGGAATGTAAAATGGTATGGCTGCTGTAGAAACAGTTTGGCAGTTCCTCAGAAAGTTAAACAGAATTACTGTATGACCCAGCAATTCCACTCCTAGGTATATACCCAAAAGAATTGAAAGCAGGTATTCAAATACTTGTATACAAATGTTTGTGTCAGGACTTCAAATAGCCAAAATGTAGAAACAGCTCTAAATGGTCATTGAGGGATGCATAGATAAATAAAATGTATATCCAATATCCATTCAATGGAACATTACTCAGCCCAAAAAAGGAATGATGCTGATACATGCTGTAATGTAAATGAACCTTAGAAACATGCTAAGAGATCATATGGTATTTGTTTTTCTCTCTGCGACTTATTTCACTTAGCAAAATGCCCTTAAGGTCCATCCATGTTGTCACAAATGGCAAGATTTCATTCTTTTTTATGGATTCAAATTTGTAGTGAACAAATATTTATGGTATTTGTACAAGGATAAACAGACAAAATGATTGAGGAAACATAATAGATAGCTTAGAAACATACCACGGTTTATGGAACCTTTATGCTAACTAGCTTTAGTGTTTTTAAAATGTTTACAAATTCTTTGATATTCTTCCCTTCAAAAGGTAGAGCCCAGTTTCCCTCCCCTTGAATATGGGCTGGACTTAAGTATTCAAATATAATTACTAGAAATGACATTGTACATTTTATTTTATTTTTATTGTTTAACACCTACAGCACCTGGTATTCCTAGGTACTCTCTCATTCAAGAACTAACCAGGCCCAACCCTGCTTAGCTTCCAAGATTGGACGAGATCGGGCACATTCAGGGTGGCATGGCTGTAGACGACACTGTACATTTTAGAGACTAAGTTCTAAAAGGCACTGTGGCTTTTATTTAATTTTATGGAAGTAAAAATTACCCTGAGGTCATTTTTGATTATATACAAATATTGAATCATTGTATTGCACACCTGAAACAAATACAATGTTATATATCAGTTATACTGCAATAAAAACAACAAAAAGTTATAGTGAAGTAACATTTCATACTCCCCCTATTGGAAAAATTAAACGTTATAGGGAGCATTTAACAAGCTCGGGGGGTTGGGGGGTAGTTGCGGGGCAGTATATAAGGTTGAAAGGTTGAAACCTTGTTACTCTGGAGTATAGACAGTAATCCCAGAAGACAAGAACAGGAATGTTCCCAGCAGCACTATTCGTAACAGTAAAGATTCAGAAGTACCCATATTCCAACAGTAGAACAGAACAGAATATTATCCAGCAGTGAAAATGAATTCTAGCTGAGGAAAATGCACATGATTCAGGAAAATGTTGGGTGAAGAAAACAAGTTGTTTGAAGTATACATGTAGTATGACTCCATATACACAAGTTTCAAAATCATACAGTACTAAGTGATAAGGTGTTTAGGAGTACTATAAGAGTTTTCATGATCATCTAAATTTTTAAACTATTTGTAACATACATGAAAATGCACTAATCTTAAGTGTACTTAACTGTTTACGTTTTTACATTTGTATAAACCATTCTCCAGATTAAGATAAAGAATATTTCCAAAAAGTTCACTTAACGCCCTTTCCCAGGCACTATTCTCTCCCTGGAACCATTATGTATTGTCATTCATAACACATATTTTGTACTATTCTCTTGTTAACTATTTTTCAGGAAGTAGACCAATATATACTCTTTTAGAAAGATCTTTAAGACATAAGTGAAAAGGAAATCACAGAAAAATATGATTGCTTTAAAAAGATAGTATATACTATATAGAAACCATATATATATTTTATAAATTAGTTACATATGAGGTAGTAAATAGGAATGGAAAGGGGTGATGACATATTTCCTACATTTCTGTTTAGTTTTTTAGAATGAGTATGTGTGCATACATTACTTGATTATTAAAAAGAATATGCAAGAGAGTTCATAAATCTTCATCGATTATGTTGGATAAGTATCTGATCACATTTGGTTCTCTGCTTATTTCAAAACAACTCATACTGTAATAATTCTGTCTTGGTACAAATATACTTGGTAACTTTGGCAGAAGGGATTTTTCAGCTTTGTGAAATAAAATTAAAAAGACTAAACCTGGACTCCCGTTTTATTAACTGAGAAGGTGGTTCTTGTTCTCATAAGTTTGCAGAGTGTTTAGGTTGATGTGACTAAGTATGTGGGTTATTTACTGTAGTTTATCTGTAAGGGATGTTCATGTTCTTTATATGAGATCTTTGTCTAGATTTTATTTAATTATTCCAAATACTAATTGGTGCTTTGGATACAATGGGACTTATGGTTTTACATATTATTTGCAATCAGACATTTTTCATTTTTTCTCTGATTGTAAAAATCAGAGAGCTAGCTGCTCTTTGAAAATCACCGAAAGTTACCACCACTTAAACACAGCCAACATTTTGGGAGATAGCTGCCATTTTTAAGCATAGTTGTGTACGTGTTTAGATTTTTCACAATTTTAAAAATATACCTACCTTCTTGTAACCTTTTTCCCATTTCTTTACAGCATTTTCCATTATATTACAGAGTTTATATTTTCGGTGGCAAACAGCCTATTAACGATGCTTAGAACTTTAGAGTTATGCTCTTATGCTGGTATGTTGATTATGTCTGTTTGTCTCTAAGCAGATAGTTGATATAAAATGTGTATATAACAAAAATCTCTATACCAAAATGGCACAGAATCTAATCATGGACTTTCCCTCCATAGTAGAAACTAAAAATGTAGACTTTCTGGCATAAAAAACAAACAAGCAAACTTAACATATCCTTTCTCCTGATTTAAAATGTCGTTTCCATTACTTTTGCTAAGACTGTACAGTTTTAGTTGTTTCGATGTTATCTACCTTTTTTTTTTTGAGAATTAAGAAATGTTTAGATTTGACTTCCTTTTCTGCTGCTTTTTTACTAAAATATCAATACTCAGCCTTCTGAGTTTCACTCTGGAGTTAGACCAGAATACTTGAGACAAGAAAATAGAATACGCTCCTTCTGATAAACCAGCCAAGCAGCAAACCAGACAACCTTTGGCATAAATAGCTAATGTGGCTTTATTATATTGGGTACATACCACTTGTCTTTCAAAGCATTCAAACTTTGGTAAACTTTTTTTTCAGATATTTGTCACCTAAATCTCAATTGGGGTTAGCATCACAGTCTGAAGTTGTACAAGAAGGCAAGAATAACTCCATGTCTAAGGTATGTGAATGCTAAAGATGTTCTTAGTTTGGCACATTTACTCACGCCATAGATTGCTAATTCTCGTAGGTACCTAACTTTTGTTTAAGTCACTGTAGTAAATGGGACACCCTTCTTAGTCATCTTAGGCTTACTTGTACTAGGAGTCAGCAAACTTTTTCTTTAAAGAGCCAGATAATAAATATTTTAAGCTTTGCAGCCCATATAGTCTCAGTCACAACTATTCAGCTATGCTGTTGTCATATGAAAGCATCCATGAACGATATGTAAACAAATGAGCTTATCTTTGTTCCAGTGAAACTATTTACAAAAACAGCAGGCTTAATGTGGTCCCCGGGCCATAGTTTGTGGATCCCTGATCTAGACAATCAGACTCACAAAACTGAATAGGCTACTGCTAGTACCAGCTTCCCTTAAAAGATTATAGGATGAGAAACAAAGCATGCTTTGTTTATTAGGGCAACATCAGGCATGCTATTCAGTAAGAGTCCTCAGTGCAGAGCTCCTAAGTGATGGTCTGGAAATGATACCACGCAGGTGAGTGTTATGGTAACCACCCTGGCTTAGAAGCCTGATACCCCATAAAAATCATTTCTTGTAACAACGCATGGTTATAACTTCCAGGAGTCCTGGTAAGAAACACACCCAATCAAAAGAGTTATAAGTCATTTATACAGAAGCCCCAAGCTTTGACTTCCTGCTCGGTGTTTATAGATTACTCATAGTCCCCTAGTACAGATGCAGTTCACAAATAAGGGTCATTTTTACCATAAGCTATGTAGCCTAGTAACACAGTTGACATTCTACCTTTATCAGGTTTCCAGGTAAATAGAACTAGGAACGGTGAGCTAATACCAAGGTCTGTTTCCTTTATAAAAGTTTTGTTAAATCTTTATCACAACCTCTAACTCTATAATATAGGTATCCCTCTTGTGTCCATTTTACAGTTGAGAAAACTGAGGCACAGAGATAAGAGACTTGCCCAAAGTCTCTTAAGTAGGGGTAATAGAGGGAGGATTTAAATCCAGATAGTCTGGTTCATACTGGGAACTGAGAATTAATGGAAGAGGCATTGTAGGGCTGGGATATTTTCATTATTCTGTTTTTTCATATTCATAACATAACTAGGTAAGCAACCTAGAATTTGTCTAGTCCAAACCTCATTGGTTCATAAAACACTATCAGGTATGATAAATGCAAAGCAACGAAGGTAAAAGAACAGACTTAATGTCTCCAACAATGAGAAATTTTTGTTCTGATGCAAATTCTCATTGAAGACTTTCTTCTTAAGGCTTTCCCATGGTCAAAACTAATCCTAGCTCTTGACTTCCCTAAGACCTATAAGTGAGAAGAATTATTATACTGGCTAAAGCAAGGGTTCTCAACCCGAGAGTTATGGTTAGAGTCCAGGGAGTACATATGAACTTAGAAGAAAATGTTTGTCTACTTTCGCCTGACCTCTCATTTTAATATTCCCTTTATGAATGTGGACAACAAACCATTGTACTTTTAATAGTACCTGTGACTTTGTCACCAACAGAAAGGATGGGTTTTTATAATATTACATTTGTTGCAGATCTCTTGAAATATCATTTATATTCATCTCTACTTCAATATTATGTTATTAGACTTGCCACTAGATCTTCTTAATAGATACATATTACATCATAACTTAACATTTTAATGTGTTATAATATAAATTGTGATCCTATATGTTTATATTTAAAAATATTATTCTCAGAAAATGTAAGCTTCACAAAAATGCCAAAAGGAAGAGAGTCTGTGGTACAAAAAGGTTTAAAAACCCCTGGGCTAGTGGACGTTTATAAAGTAAAAACAAAAAATGGTCAGGTCATGGTGCCAGCTATTGGCCATATATAGAATCTAGTTTGTGAGTTTTAATCCGTAGGTTTTCATGGGAGTAATAATAAAGGAATGCCTTAATCTAAATGGGCACACAGAATAAAAATACTAATAAGAAGTAGTATGCCTAATTAGTAGTAATAATAACTACCTAATAGTGACGACTCAACTGAGGTATCAGTGTGAGACTTATATGTTATGATTTGATACGTACTCCTGGTTCAATCAAGTCTTTTTCTGTTTTCTACAGGAAACTGACAGTAGTGATATAAAGAGCCTTACCTGGCAAGACACAGAAATTGAGGAAGATATGCCAACACTGTCTCCACAAATATGCCTTGAAATTCAAGAACAAGGTACAAAGTCTTCGGTAGAGTCACCTATGCCTCAGTTATGTGCAAATGGTATAGAATGGTGCCTTGAAGGAGAAGTCAAAATAAAACCAAGCAATCATGATAAAGAGTTATGTGTCATAAATCATGAGGGACCTAAAGCCAGCATTCCTTATTCCAGAGAAGCTGCAGTTAAGCCTTATGGCAAAACAGAGAGTGGGTGCACTATACCGGATATGACACAGATAATTGGAAATAACACAGTTGAGACAGAAAATGAAGAGTCTCACCTACTGATCAGTAAAGAAGATATTTCCAAAAGAAAAAACCAGGAATCGTCATTTGAAGCAGTCAGGGATCCATGCTTTTCTGCAAAAAGAAAGAAAATGGTCCCCAAAGCTTCCTCAGACCAAGAGGAAGCAGAAATCAACTTTACCCAAAAACTGTTAGACTTGGAACATCTACTTTTTGAGAGACATAAACAAGAAGAACAGGATAGGCTATTAGCATTACAGCTTCAAAAAGAGGTGGATAAAGAACAAATGAAGCCAAACCGGCAAAAAGGATCCCCGGATGAATATCAGTTACGTGCTACACCCTCACCTCCAGACAAATTGCTAAATGGACAGAGGAAGAATCCCAAAGATAGGAACTTAAGAGGACAAACTGATAGAGAGCATTCAAAACCTCAGAGAAGCTCAAAAAATGAAAATTGGCATCCTTCTTTTAACATACAGTTGAAACATTCAGTTAATGTTAAGAGAAGAAAGATGCCAAAATCTAGAGATAATTATAACTTATCTAAAAGTGCTCATTCCCTACAGCCTAGTAAGTCACAGAAAAGTATTTTTCAGATGTTTCAGAGATAACACAAAGTAATGCATGGGTAAAGGGAGTGTTTTATAATCTAGTAAAGCTGGATTGTGAAGCTCTCTTTATCATAGAATCTTTATAAATTTTTTATTAATTCTGCTCTGTAGGCACACTCATTGTCCATAACTATAAGGACTGCAGTTACCAGGATGGGAATATACAAGTGTGTTTCTGCCAAACGCAATGATAAGCAAAAGTCCCAATCCTTTATTAATAACTGTAATGTGCCAAGTTTGACAGTCCTTATAGGCAATAGATATAAAAATGCCTGGGCTAACTCCCAAGAAATCTTCAAGTGCCATTTTATTTTCCCCCAAAATGCATGTTTTATGGCCTTTACTAATCATTTTGTCCTGACTGGCAATCAAAACAAGATTATACTATACGAAATAGTAAATGGATTCAGGTTTCACATCTAAGTTTTCTTGCTACTTTGCTGTGTACTTGTAGAACTCTTGAAATTCATCATTAACACTACCATCTTTTTAATTAAGCATTACAGCATTTTTTTTTATTATTTAAAATGAGTTAGGATCAGTGTGGAATCATAAAAAGAGTTTTCTGGAAAATTAGTAATTGACAGAAAGGAAACTAGATTCTTGATGTAAAAGGAGTTAAGAGTTGGGATGAGGCTAAATACAACAGACTGATAATTTAGAAGCATTGGAACTGAGTGGGTGATCAGAAACAGTCCAAGGTGGAGTAGCAGGTATAGTTTGGCAAAGCATCCCTTTCTTTGCTAGCCACAGAAAACATGGGGGCGAGGGGGGCGGGGGTTACAGCTTTTCACAGCATAGTATGGTGTCAAAATCAAAATTAGTTACTTAAATTACCTGAAATTTTGGAAATTTACATTTCTATTAATCTATCCGAGAAAAAAATTAGAATTTACTGTAGGAGAGTTATGTCACAAATTCCTGTGTTGTAGAACCTGAAACATAAAAACCATGTGTTTATTTCCTTATATTATCATTTTTATTGATAGTGACTTTTGTGTTTATGGACGAAATAGAAAGTATGATACTTGGGTTTTGCCCTATATTACCCCTTAAATCAGAGGCAATGATTTCATTTTCTGAAATTTAACTTAGCAACTGTTAATCTTGGTTTAATGTGAACAACCGAGCAAACCACAGTTTTAACAGCATTTCTGCTGATGTCTAGTTATCCATCCTTTTAAGGTAAAAACACAACAAAATGACCTAGAGCTACTTCTAGCTTAAATTTGTCGATATTTTAATATATATTGAGATTTTTTTTCCCCTCCAAATTTTATAACTGAAATTCTGTTAATCTTTGCATACTTGGTGGCATCTATTCAATGTTGATTTAGTAATTATGGGTAAGTAGAATTTTGATGGTAATTTAAAATTTAGTTTGCCCTTTCAAAAAAAAAAATTGCCCTCTGAGTAACGATTGTTCTGAAATGAAGTATAGTCTGAAATTAACCAAATTTGTGTAAAATAGACTAAAATCTGTCTTCACATCAAACCAGTTTTTTTCTAGAGCAATTTCATTTTACATTTGGTAGGGGGGGTAGACATTGTTGGAACTCCTCGAATTAAGTTATATAATTTAATCATCCTGGAATAGTCTGTGACCAAAAAGGGGATGGGGGGAATAGTGTGATATAGTTAGGATTTGTATTATTTAACCACTCATTTGTCTGTGAAGAAGTCTTCCTGAATAAAGCTGGTTTTAAAGTAAATTTTAATTTCTCTATTAGTCTTTCTGATAGTCCTACCATGTGTACTTTTTTGTTAAAAAATAATAAATGATTTGTGATAGTCATTAGAATGTATTGCTACTTTTTCCTCTCATTTTTGTAAAATGGAGATGAGAGTTTAATTTCTAAGGGAATACTAAAACTGCAGAGGAATATTAAAAATAAAAATGGACTATTATACATTTTACCACAATTTAAAAAATAAAAATTAATTACATAAAAATAAATTCTGCATTAAAAAAAAAACTACCATAAAGGAAAATTGGAAGATATGGCAAACAGGGAAGAAACAGATGCAGTCATTACAAAGAGCTAATTTTTTTATAAAAGTGTCTGCCAGTACATTAAGAAAAAGACTAACAACCCAAAAGGGAAATTAGAAAAGTTTATCTTCCTAAGAAACATAGTTTCCAGGAAAGGAAATGTAAATGGTTTAAATATGTGAAAAGATGCTTGATATCACTTACACTAACGGTCATATGTTTTTTTACCCTTCAGATTAGTAAAGATAAAGGTGCTTTTTCTGTGTGTATTTATGTATGGGTATTTTTTTTTTTATCTTGGAAAGTGTGTGGAGAAATAGGGACTCTTAATGTTGCTTGGTATAAATAGAAAATTTTTAATCCCTTTGGAGGTAAACTTGGCAGTTTTACCTCTAGGACTTTCTTAAAGCTATCTTCACATGTGTGTAGAATGGCATGTACAAAACATTTTTGTATGGCATTGTAATAAACTTAGAAACAACCTTAATGTCATATTAATAGACACTAAATAAATGAATGTGTAGTGGAATACTACATAGCAGTTAAAAATCCACACTTTTACAGATATGAAAAGAATGATAATAGAGTTAAGTAAAAATACAAGATGTAGAATAGCATGTAATTTGTCCAAAAAAGGGAAACATGTATTTGCATAAAATATGTCTAGAAGGAGAAATAATAAATGTTAGCAGGGAGAGAAACTGGGTGGCTGTGAGATAGGAGTGAAAGAGTGACTTTTACTATATGTTCTTTTTATACTTTTTGAATTTTCAATCATACTGAATATATCTAGTCAAAAAATTTAATTGTTCTTAAAATGTTGCAAAATAAAGGAAGCTTATATATCTCAACCTGTGCCACTTTAGATGGTCCTTTGCCTTTAAATTTTAAGAATCATAATTCAGGAAGGTTTTCACAGCATTAAAAAAACTAGCATTGTGAATTTTTGGAAATAGTCTTGTGAATTAATTTGAATTTAATGTACTATTTTAAAATTATTTGAAAAGCAAAACTTATGCTTTCCAGATAGCATTGCAACATTTCTACAATCCTGCTAATAATGAAAAAGCCAGATAAAAATGTAAAATTTTATACTTAAACGTATCATAGAGCTACTGAAACAATGAGGACTAATTTAGGGGCTAAGAGTCTAAAGAGGGGAGACGAGAGGTGCACTGATATTTGCAACCACATTTTCGCTGGCAGCATGTGCCTATTCTGAATGCAGGATGAGAATCGGCAGCTGCAGGTGAACAGAAACTGGCAGAGCTCTTTGCCATTTGATGAAGCTTGAGTGACAGTATTGGAGACTTGAGGGTCATCAAACATTAGTCTCGTTTTCCCATCAAGATAATTGCAATTTTGAAACTCCTCAGGGCAGATGTTAAAAGACTGAAAACCTCTGGAAAGCAGAGAGTTGTCATCAGACTTTGCTATTGAGGCAGTAAGTTCAAAACCTACCAAGGGAAGGAAGCCTGTTAACACCAGGGTCTCAATTGAAAGTCCTGGAACCAGGAATCTGCAAACTAAATCCTAAGAGCCACCTATTTTTATGGGGCCTGTGAGCTAAGAATGGCTTTTAGATTTCTTAGTTCACAGATATTATGGAATCGATAGGACTAGTAATTTGTGCATGAGTTTTGGATCAAAACAAGAACATGTAGTGTTCTACCTGTATGAACTTAGGTGAGCTACTTAGCTTTCATTACCTCACTTTATTTGTAAATGGAAATCACTGTAACCAATAGAGTTGTTATCAGGAATTAAGTAATATACATACAGCACCTGGCACAGGCCCAGACTCAGAAAAGAACCTTAATAAGTGATGGTCCCCCCTGGCTGTTCTCCATCCCCTCAACTCCATTAGTAGTTTTGCTTCATCCAGTGTTTCGTGCTCCCATAAGTCTCCAGATGTGGCATAAATTGCAATTATCTTCCATCTACTGATGAAGACTCCACTCACCTCTCCCCTGCCAGATGTGTCCACAGCTCCCTGTGTTACAAGATACCTCTGCCCATAAGTTCCCCAGTGTCATAGGTCCCAGGTCACAAGAGACCTTGGCCCCAGAGGAAACCAATTTTCAGAAATACTTAGTGGCTTCCTCAAATTCCTATACTAGTTCTACACATTTGCTATGCATAAAAGTATATAAAACACTAAAAACAGATAATAAATTGGGGACTTGAGCTACTATATTCATATTTTATTCCTGTGTAAAGTTCTTAATAAACAATCATGACTTTAAAGTTTGAATCCGATTTTTTTTCCCAGAATATTTTACTTTGTCTTGGCAGGACTTGGAGAAACATAGTGAACCTTGAGTTCACCTGAGGGGAACCTTCTCTACATTTTATTTACATTTCTCTTCAACTTGGCTTTTGTGCTTCCAGGCTGCCACAATTAGGCTCTATTCCTGAAACTAGTTCAGTTCTCAAGGCTTTCTTTCACTTGAGGATCATCCATAAAAAGTTTTAAGGGTACCTTTTTCACTCAGTTAGACTGACTTACCTTGGACTTTACTGAGTCCCAGGATAAAGATGAGAAACCCACTCTGCTCAGTTTGTGCTAGACAAATGTAGATTATACTGGGTATATCGATTGGGGTCCAGTTAAGAAAACGAGAAGCACAACAGGTATTTCAGCAGAAGGTATACAGTATTATAAGGAATTGGTTAGACATGGAGCAAAAGGGAACAGTGCAATAATCCAAAGATGCTAACTGCCAGAAGTGGCTGCCACCCTCAAAGCTGGAAAACAGATGGGACGGGTTTTGGTTACTAGAATGAGGAGCTCGAGAGGTGGGGAAGGGTGGATGCTGCAGACCTGGGTTCATACCTTTGAGAAGGAAGCACCTCCCAGATGCTGCTGGTACTGTTGTAGGGCCTACTGAGCCTATTTCTAGAAGAGGTGAAGGAGTTTGGAAGCTGGAGTCAATTATTACTAATGGGACAACACGAATAAGAACAGCAAAAAAAGAAGCCCCTTTTTCCATTCCTTTCTGGTAATTCTTATTAATAGAACTTCATTGGAAGTTTGCTAATAAAGGAGTCAAGGTGAGTGGGAAAGTGTTTTTTATGTCACAGCAGAGTTTAGAGTGGCAGGCTTAACCCTGAGAGACAAGATGGAAAAAAAACACTAGAGATGTTTTCTATTAATGGATTCTAAGACTAAGATGTCTTGCAATTTCTAAGGCAACAACCTGGAAAGTTCCTTTAAAAAGGAAAAAAAAAAAAAAACTGGAAAGCTCCTATCCTAACAAAATGGAGTATTATGTGTGGAGAAATGGTGCTTAAACACAAATGCTTAGGAGAGGCAAAAACCTCATTAAGAGTCGTGGAAGAAAATTGTGGAGAACCTTCCCAAGTACCTGTAAAACTTGAGTTTCTATTGCCCTGATCATACCCTAGTGTCCCCATCTTGACCAGAGCTAATGATTCAGAGTAAGGTTTGTGTGTGCCACCCTACACACAGACTATCAATCACCTAAAGCCACCATTGTCCTGAGTCCCTACAAGTTTTCCAATTCCTCACCTACAGGGATGGCAAGAACCCCTCTCTGAAATTTCTTCTATAGAAAATTAAAGCGTCAGGTATCATCATTAAATTCCTAGAACTCCTAGGAGGTTATACACCAGAAATAATAGAGTTAGGACACCAAGATAAGATTTAAAGGACATTTGAATAACTGAAATTGATCATAATGAAGTAACCCTCCAGAGTAAACCCAGATTGAAAAAAATTAGATGACAGAGGTGTGTAATAATTTTAGCAAAAGGCACTGAGATAATACTAATTTTGTTTTAAGAGAATCCACTCCCAAGAGCTTGAAGTACTATAATTTATACAAGTGTATTCTAAGTTTATTTGATTGAAAACTATGTTCAAAAATCTCAGGATCTCAAGAATGTTTGGGAAAAGCATCTTGTAAATGAAACAAAAAAATTTACTTGATTCCTTCTACTGGCAAATGCTTAGAAAACATTTAAAGCTTTTATTTATATAAAGCTAAAATTACATGACTAACTGGTTTATTTTCAGAAGAAAAAAATTTCCTTTGTGCCAATAAGTATAGGTTACAAACTAAAAAATAGATAAAAGGCCTAATTACCTAAGATTTATGTCTTTAGTGGGGAAGAAGTGGCAATTTTAATATTGCATAATAGCAAAAGCAACCAAAAAGATAAGAGCTGAACCAAGAAGATAACCTATAAGAACTAAATCAAGGGGCTCCTTTACCCTCTGAATTCTAGTTGAACTATGCTAAGGGGAGCCCTATAGAAAATGAGAGAGAGGAGAGTATAACTGGATTGTTTCTCTCCCTGACTCCTCTGCTGGAAGACCCCAGTCTGGCTGGCTATGCCCTGCAACTGAAAGGCAGCTCCTGTAAGGTGGTGCTCTCCACACAGCCTCTCTTTCCAGGTTCTGGTAACTGCTCCCTCCTCTTCTCCCCTCTGATCTAGAAGTGGTAACAGCTCTCTGACATTGCTGTCTGGAACCATCTTGTGCTATCCCTACACCATGCCCACGCCTTTGTAAATAATCCCTCTTCTCAAATTACCCAGTTTAACCGGGCCATCTATTTACCAGGCCCCTGACTGGTACTGTTAGCTAGACAACAAAGCATACCAGATATTAAAAGTCATGAAAATGGTCTACGGCCATGTTACCCTGAACAAACCCAATGCCATCTGATCTCGGAAGCTAAGTAGGGTCAGGGCCTGGTTAGTATTTGGATGGGAGACCACCCAGGAAGACCAGGTGCTGTAGGCGTAAAAAATAAAAAAATAAGGGATTCTAAACTGACAAGGTCCTTGTAATCTGTGAAGTCCACCAAGGGTTGCCTTGCCTAAACAAAACAAAACAAAAAGTCATGAAAATGTTCCATATCATGAAAACTCATTAAATGGTACATTTAAATTGGATGCGTTTTTAGTGCATGTAAATTATACCTCAATAAAGTTGATTTTTAAAAAAATTAGTCTGTGAAATCTGTGCCCCTTGGTTTCCATGGGTCACTTGATAATCCTTTGCATAGTCCCCATATCACAAGAGACCTCTCCCTGCCTTCATACTCCCCTGTGTCTCAAGATATCCCTGAACAATAAGAAAAATACTTAGCTGGGAAGGAAAAAGAAAAAACCTTCACAGCTTACTCAAGTTATTATGCTAGTTCCACATTTTGATTCTGAATAAGTTATACTTTTAAAAGTTTGTAATCTTAAAGTGCTGAAAGAGTTGATTGAACTTCAGGTATGTGTGTGCTTCTCTATTTCTTCCCCCTGTCTGTAGATCTCAGTAAATGACAGCCTTTAAATTTGGAGGCTGTTGTCTATTTCTTCTACTCTCTCTCTATTACCCTCAGTTTAGCTATTTTCAACCAGTAATTAGGGGAAAAGGAAGCCTATTCACATGTACTATTACGTGACTCCCTACTGTATCCAAAATACTTTTTTATTAATTTCGATGACAGATTTTCAGGCATTGAAGAAAAGTGAAAATTCAGAATGTTTCTGGAAATGCTGTTGAAAAATTACCTTGCCTAGGAAGATCCCAGTATTCACTCAAATCACTTTCTCCAGAATTGTCTCTGCTTTTCAAAACACCAGCAGGGTTTCCTGTGGTAATAGGGCTCTAGATGAGGAGGGATGCAGGAGCGGTGTCAAGGAAGAAAGAGACTCTGCAGTGTTTCGTGTACATTGGTCTTCTATAACTGGGATATTAGTCAAACACTGCATTATTAATATCACATTCTTTTGATATAAATATAAGAATGTTGAATTCGGAAGCGATTCAATTCCTCCGCCCTCATTCTAAAGAAAAGAAATTAACTTATCATTATATGTAAAAAAA